TGTGATTATGTATATAATCATAAAAACAATAAATAATAATACTTTATTTACGGAAAGCTACGCTGAGTGATTTTTTGTTTCAGGATCTCGTAGTATTAAAGAAAAACTTGGATGCCTACTTGCCCGAGTGACATCGATGGATTGTGACAAAACTATCACAACGAGTGCCTACTGAACGCTCGGAATTTCGTAGAGTCCCACTTGAGAAAAAACAAAAAAGCATTATTTTTTGATTTGACAAATCAAATCCACATCTTCGCCAGCAACCTCAGAAAAAGACGTTCAGCAAAAGCTCCTGGGATGCTGAATCAACAGCAAAATGTACCACTCGGTTCTACGAACGTATCCGCAAACAACACACAAAGCTTACGCGTTATTACCAATACTACGGCGCGGTTTCGCTGATCATTCCCGCAAACCAGCTGTATTCGTTCCCCGAAACGTCACTCGATGTCTGTATATACGACTCCGGCAGATGGGTCCTCACGCGTCTCGTCATGAGATACGTGCTCGAAGGCGGCCGCCAATCGAGAGACAGAGAAGACACCACCGCTGGCTGTGTCGGTAGCCGACTTAATTATATGCGTCGCAATGCCGATGCTATGCACGAAGCCATGTCCTCGTCATTTGGCTAGCGATCCTCCTTCGCGCTCTTTCTCTCCAGCTTCGAGACTCCACGATAGTTTACTTGACACCTCTCTGTGCGCAAGTATACGGCAACGCCGATTGCTCGTCGGAGGAGCCTGTGGTTACGGAGGGCGCCGAATTCGACAGCTAACCTTTCGGGGGCCTAACTCCACCCGCTATGTACAACACGCAAGGGTACGCCGGGTGTCAGCCTCCTATTGCGGAGCAATCACAGGGGGGACACATGTCTTCGTACTTCAGGAGGCGCGCACATCGCGGCTCACACGATGAAGTGCCCGCGCGAAAATTACGCCCGGCCTGCCCCTTCATGTTCGGCCAGCGCTTCCTCGCACTGCGTTCGTCATTTCTTGTCCCTGTATCTCTGGACTAAGGCTTTTTTGTTATTTTGAACGTTTGCTTGCGGCACAGAAAGACTAGCGAAGTCAACGTAGAGCGATTCTCGTACACGGTGGGACAGTCAAATCCGCTGGCCGCGCAAGGTCAGCTGGGACTGTAGATCGAGTCGTTGACGCTGCCGCGCAAAAAGTCGCGCTCCAATCTGACGGTGAGACGCGTCCCTGCGCGACGTGGAATGCACGCCACCTTGTCATTTTGCCTGCGCAAAGAAGCGCTCTGTAATTTGTTACCCTTGCCAGGCCCGTAACGCGATGCTTTTTATTTGATGTAGTGAGGACAACTGTCGTGTCCTTTCACTCTCTCGTACCTAAATATATGTTTTTACTATTGTACCTCCTTCCTCTGGTCTTCTCCTACAACGGCTCGCTTTGTTGCGCTTAAGGGGCGGGGTCTTCAGCCGCTGTGCCTCCGTCCCTCATAGAGAGAAAGGCAGGTTCTTGAGCTTGGACCCTTCGCAAATCTTCCTCATTTTTGTGGCATAAGCGTGCAGAAGATGAAGCGTCCGCAACTGTTTAGAGCGTACTATTAATGGCAGCGTGATGAGAGAGAGAGAGAGAGAGAGAGAGAAATAAAGAAAAAAAATAACGGATCAGAGATCAATAATTCTCAATTATGATTTGAGGGCCGTTCTCTGTGCTCCTCGAATATACACACAAGGACGAGTGATGGCCGACTGTGTGGCGTAAATTACACAGTGTGTGCGAGTCGCGAGGTTACGAAAGAGGGAGAGAAAAAGAGAATGGAATGGAATGGGTAAGGGTGTTCGGTGATCCATTTCATAGACAGCGAGGGAGAGGAAAATAACGAAACAACAATTAATGAAGATGTTTCACGGGAGAAAAAAAAAGCTGCCTGATTGATCGATGCGAGCCCTACGTTCGGTGAATTCCCAAGCAGGCGTTTTTGCTCGGCGTAATGATACGTGACGCTCTTCTGGATTTCTTTTTTTCTTTGCAGAACAGGGACAGCTGCTTTGAAGGTAAAAACATGACCACGAGTGGCGCGAAGTTGTTAGAGGCCCAGTTCGGATCGCAGATGGCGAAGGTATTTTTGCCGTCTCACTTCGGACGAGCACCTTAAGTACGGGCACTGTTTGAGCGTTTTAGTTTATTTGTTTACATTAGTTGTTATTTCAGTGTATGCTTCGGCAGGCCTCGTACATCATCCATGGCCTGTTAAATAAATGCGACAAGATAGATGTTTTGTATCGATCTGTGCACCTTGCGCGTGCTCGTATGGCTTTTTTGAACATCGTTGTAAGAGGCCCACGCAGGGTTCATTAGTACCGGGGTTAAACGAGTTTGTTTCTGAGTAATGCAGCTTTGACGTAAAGACTCAATCGCCAATGTTTTTTTTCGGCTATCTCAATTCATTAGTCTTTTTTTTCAGCATGAGCTACGGATACGTGAAGCCCGTGCTTCAAGTTTCTGTAATCACTAGGATTACGTTGCAGACTAGCCCTTTAAAACTATACTTTGCGTGCGTGACCACGGCATGCGTGCTGTATGGCCTGCGTTGTAAGTTGAACCAGTGTTTCTAGAATGCGGGTCATAAGGCACGAACGAATACATGGGAAACGATGCATTATGTGCTAAAAGTAACTGATATAAGCACGCGTGCGACAAAGACAGGTACCACTTTCATCAGTGAAATAATTTCGCTTAATTATGCAAATATCACTACGGTCCGATCGCTGTCTTCAAACAACGCTAATTTAGAGTAAAACCGAACGAGCGTTGCTGTAATGTTGCTAAGTATAGAACCAGCTTCAGGTTATGCTGAAGTGAATGCTGCCTTTTTCTGTGTATAGTAACCTCCCATTTTCGATGCACTCATTGACGAGGAAAAAAAATAACGCTCTTTTTATATCTGTTTACGTTATCGGCGATGTATGAGATGCCTTGGACATTATTAAACGAAAAGACATGCAGGCAGCTGAGAACGCTGTGAGTAGTATACAGTTCGTAGTACATGCGCGCTTTACACAATAGCATGCAGACGTCGTTTCTGTCGTACCGAATGACGTCGTGGGGCCTCCGGACTATGAGAGCTTCATAGAGGAACGTGCAAGCCGTAACCTATAAGGACAAGTGTGTCTGGGACGTTTGTCACGTCTACGTACAAACATTGTCTAGACAGCGACACAAAGAGCGTGGAAGAAAAAGGCGTCGCTATCGAAGCTATCGATGCTCTTCCACCGCTGAGCAATGAGTTCAAGTGTCAGTGTACATAGGCGAGCCTATAAAGCATCTCGAGGCGGCGCCAGTGACGCAGGTGCCGGCGGTCGACGTAAACCAGTTGGCGGGGCCGCCTCGCATTCTGAACCAGCGACGAAGTCGTTGTGCGCGTAAAAAAAAAAAGAGAAAAAAAATGGGACTGTTATTACCGAAGCCACGTCGCGTGAGAAGCAAGTCGAACGCATTAATAAATAGAACAACCACGAAATGCGTGGTATACTTACGCCACGGAGGAGACCTGTATTCTCCGTGACAGATATATAACCGCGGCTATAGAAACAGGGCCGGTGGGAGAAATAAACAAACCGTCGCTATTGAATGGAGAATAACGTAGAGACGACGGCGTTGCGCCCATACTCTCTCTCTCTCTCTCTCTCTCTCATCTTTTTTTTTTTTTTGCCTGGTTTATGCACATCCGAACACCTGCTTCGGTGGTGCACCGATGGAGACGTCAGATGGTGCAGTAGTGGGAGGAAGGGGGTTTCGGTGTGTGCGTGCACGGTATACAATACGCACGCACGGGCCGCTGTTGCGTCGCGGCCACCTCATCAGCTAAGTCCTCACGCATCGAGAATGCGCCCGGCGAATTGTATACACGGCGTTTAGAAGCACAAAACGCGCTCTTCATCCCAACGAACGGCGGGATGGAAGCGAGGGAGACAGCGAATCGAGCGTGCGCCCAGCTAGAGGGCTTTTGGAAGTCACTCTCTGCCGTGCTCTTACCTTCGGTTAGGGTTTTAGCGGTTTTAGTGGGGTGTAGCAGCGGCTTGCGGTGCTTCGAGAGCGAACACATTCAAGTGGCGCGACCCAAAGGGTTGATTGCGTGTGCGCGGGGGCCATCTGCGAAGCGGACGGTTGACGCCCACCTGAATTCGTGGGCGGGACCGGGCGCGCTTAATGGCGGTCCGTGGGGTCACGGCGCCGACGCGCGCTGCCCCGACGGATTTTCAATGGCACCACGCAGTGCAGGCGAGCATCATTCGGCCTGCCGACAAAGAAACAGCGCCAGTGCGCGAAGAAGAGGTGCGGTCGCGCGGATTCGTAGCACACTTATGCGCGCGCGATTGCCGCACTGATGTAGAGCTGCATGCTGCGGCCGCAATGTTGTGTAGGGGTTCATCGAAGCAACTAGCACCGCATGTGTTCTCGTGTAAGAGGCACAATCAGCTCTGGTGATTTATCATTGCTCACCCACTATTAGGGGCTCGTCAAGCTTTCGAGCGCAAACCGCGAGGCCAGAAAAGTGGTCCTTGTGCTACCGGCAGTTATGCTATACAGTGCCCTTGTGACCCTATTTCTTCGGCTTTCAAAAAACGAAATTTTCGAATGGTGTTATTACAGGTCCTCAGGCATGTTCTTTTTTCCAACGCATCCATCTCCTTTCTGCTACTAAAATGGCACTGTGATCTTCGAACGTTCGCATGCAGTTGATGCGTAATCATGAAATTCCAGTTCTTTGCATTTTCGCGTTTCGATTGACGCCCGCCGGGTGCTTCCGTGCATGCGTTCTCACCGGTATTGTCTGGTCAGACGGAAATGTGACCAGACAGAAACTGAGTCGTTCATAATCATTCCTGTTTAGCAGTTAAGTCGTTCCTTAGCGCATAAATAAATAGCGTGCATAGGTACACGTGCCATTTTCGTTCATATGTATTGTACCAATGTTCGAAGTGATGCGCCTCTCCTAATAAAATCTTTTTCTCATTGCATCTTATGCAGGTCTGGTTCCAGAACCGGCGTGCCAAGTGGCGCAAGCAGGAGAAGGCCGCTGGCAACGCTCTCCAGTCTCAGGGCTACAACCCGTACTCGACGGCGCAGTCACTGAGCTCTTCGACTCCCACCATGGCTGCCGGAACGCATCCTTCTCCGTCCATGGCCGCTGCCGCAGCAGCAGCGGCAGCCTTCGGCTCCCTGTACGGTCGCAAGCCACCGACCTCCGCGGCACAGGATTCAGCCCTGCTGAGCGCCGCTCGACTTTCGCCCTACATTGGGCCGGCGGCTGCAGCAGCGGCCGCCATGCCGCTTCTGACGCCGGGCCACGCGTTCTTCCCGATCAGCCCGTTCGCGCACTTCCTGCCGCCCTCGCTGCCGGCACTGTACCAAACGCCGGCGCCCTTCCAGAACTGGCTGGCCACGCTGTCCGTCCACAACCGGCAGCGGGCCGACATCGCTCCGTCCGAGGTCGGGCCGCCTACCACGGCACCCGTGCTGCCGCCGTCGCCTCCATCGTCCCTGCTTCACCAAAGAGTGCCTCCAGCCGTGGCCATACCGCCGCCGCCACCACCGCCACCTCCTCCATCCACCGCCACTGCTGCGACGGCAGCACTTGTGCCTCCACCAGCTCAATTGGCCGCGGCAGCGGCGCAACGGCCCATCCTGGGCGGCAGCAGCCCCGCCAGGTCTTCGTCCAGCGTGTCTCCGGGTGTAACGGCGACCACGCTGTCGCCGTCCACGTCGCCTCCCATTGCCGGCGGCGCAGGTCCCGACCGCCGAAGCTCAAGCATCGCCGCTCTCCGCATGAAGGCTCGCGAGCACGAGATTCAGCTCGAGATCATGCGCAAGACAAACGGCGAGATTACGAGCTAACGGCCGAGCGAACCTGAAGACTTCTCTAGAGACCAAGCAGTGTTTCCGATTCCGCCCACCGTCAATTGACTACCTGAACGCTGAAGACGGCCGTTCGTCCAGCCGCCTTCCCCGACGGAAAGCTTTCGTGTGCCTTGTCGTTACAGCCGTCCACTGCGACTTCGTGAAAATGGGTGCTTAGGACGTCTTCGAGGAAGTGACCTGGCATCTTGACGACGTCTATGACTTAACGACTCTCAAGCAACTTTCATCTGCACTGAGATGAACTCTCGCGTAAAATGCCTTATTACTGGGCCAACACATTGAAGCGTCAAGTGCACAATCAGACGGAACATTGTTGAGACTCAAAATGTGATAAGATCAACGAGTCAAGATGAAGTGAACTCAATATTCTTAATTATGCCACATGTCTCTTGACGCTGAAGTGTGTGATAATATAACAGTTCTGAACGCGAATTCCAATTTCGAATTGGTCTTGCGTGCAGCGACCTATGTGCCTTCCAAAGCTTCGAGGACGTATCTTGTGTGCGGATAAAGCGACAAGGACTTCCTCTCCTTATACGATACCAAAAAAGAAGGATGCAAGGGGACCATTTTCTCACAACGCTTTAACGTTTGTCCTCGACTTGTGTGCAGTGATCGTTCGCGTTCGCCACATATTGTCATCGCTTATGATAATTGATGTATATATGCAGTATTTCATTTTGGCTCTCATTGCCTCTGTACCACACGTTGTGTAAGTGGCGCTATTTATATTTCGACTTGTGTGCTCGCTTCGCTTGACAGTGTTTTTTTTAACGAATGGGCGCTCGTGTCTCAACAGACACGCGCACTTAACATTCCATATCTCCATTTCATTATTTTTTCTCCATTTTTGCGATCGACAACAGTGAAGAAACAAAAGAATCTAACGTGTGCCTTACCTTAAAGGGCCACTCCATATGCTCCCAAAATACAAAAAAAGAGCGCATTATTCTTTCCTGATATTTCTCGTGCTTCTTGGTGCACTACTGTGACGCAGACAGTATTCTCGTGACGTCTACAACCCACATGCTCTCGATTCATTGATGCACGCGGAATACCACATATGATTTGTCTCTTGCACTGCTTTGCCATGCAGCTGTCCATCCGTTCTTCGCCTCGCATGAATATTGAGCACAATCAACCGATCAAACTTCATCTTGTGCGTTCATAACTGCGCAAGCGGTGATAACAGCGTGCAGTCGAGAAGCGCGAAATCCTGATAGGCTCTAGCGCTTAGTGCTGATATTGTTCACGTGCATTCAAGAACTATAAGGGCGAGGAGGATGGATCGTGTGTATGAAGGAGAAGAGAAAATTATCCCCTCGTCTTTAAACGCGGGGTGTTGAGGGGCCCTTTAAGGTGCGAAAACGCCTGCGTGTGCTACGGGGAACTTCCTCGCTAAACCGACAATTCGCTCGTGCTATAGAAACTCTGCGTGGCTATGAAAAAGACTTCATTCAGCTCAGATCATCATCTTTGGGTAATATATCTCGTAATTAGTGCCTAGCGCGTGATACACGCGTTCCAACCTAGCTAACTCATACTTCACGCCTAGTATAGTAGCGAATCTGCGTTGCCCGTATTTCTTGCATCATCGATATAATGTGATTGTCTGACGGCTAGCCACCTTTAAAAGTGCATATCGACATCCAGGGTATCGTGAATGGTGCCTTATTTACAGCGTACGCCGCAAATCTGGTAAGAAATTCAGGATATAGAACCGGTATTTAACTGCGCTTACACCGGTATAACACTGTACAACATAGACATGAAATGTAGAACACTGACATTACCAGAAAATTATTTGTGACGCACATATCTAAGTGACTCTGTGGAACACAACTTGATATAATTGGTCTGTTCAAGTTTTGTTCCTACAATATTTTCTGCTTATTCTGAGAGCTCGCTTCTTGTTAAGAGGCAAACTTCGGCACGATCAATACAGCTTTTTTATTTCGTATTTTACAGCTTATTCCAAGATGCCCTTGATGAGGCTCGCGTAATATGTTCATATAAGCAGACGGAATGTTGGAAACCTCCAAGTTTCATAATAATATTATCTGGGGTTTTAAGCGCCGAAACCACGATAATTACACGAGAGACGCCGTAGTAGAGGGCCTCTGAAGTTTAGACCCCGTTTGTGGTGTTTTCAACGAACACTGGAATCACAAAGTACACGGACCTCTGACCATTCGCCTCCAATAAAAGGCGACCGCCGCAGCTGGGATCGACCCCGCGACCTACGAGACAGCAGACGAGCGCCGTAACCATTGCTACACCGCGGCAGATTGTCAGAACTTAAGACGTCAATTTCGTATTGGGAGATTCACGCATAAGCGTTGCCTTATAGCCCCATAGTTCAAGCCCAGAAAAAAGCTACACGCGAAACTGGAAGTTTCCGTGAAAGTCATCTGCTGGATAAACTCAACTGATTACCCCTAAATTTTATTTGTAGAAGAAAGGACAACTGTTCTCATCATTTCCACGAGAAGCAATTGGTCTTTGTTTTGCGTCGCGTATGCAGCGAGAAAAAAAAATAAGGCGTGAGCAGATAGATGGTTACGCAGCAGGGGCAATGGGAGTGTTAAACGATCCTTCTATAATATTTGTATATTTCATTCATGCAGTCGTATTCCCTTCACGGCTTCGATGAGAAAAAGGCTTCAGACTCCTTCGTACGCGTTCCTACGCGTAGGACAAACAACAAATAGTAATAGCCGGTTCAAATACTTCCCTGTGCTTCCTGTAGAGTTATCCCTCGTTATAGACTTGCACGCACATCTGTGTGTGCGAATGCTAACGTAATTGCTCATTTACCAGCAAATCCATGACACTAATGCAACACGTAAAATCTCCCAGAAAATAAAAAAGATGAAATAGAGAAATTCATGTGCGAGAAGCACTTATAGGTGCAAATGACTGTAATAATAATTGATGGGGCTTAACGTCCCAAACCACCATATGATTATGAGAGTCGCCTAGTCTTACGGCTCCGGAGATTTCGACCACTTGGGGTTCTTTAACGTGCACCGAAATACGGGCCACGAGCATTCTCGTCTCCCTCGAAAATGCGGCCACCACAGTCAGGATTGGAATACCGGCGTCAAAACCCCAGTAACGTGTCGGGTTCTTGGGCCATATAGTCGTATTGCACTTACGAACGCTTAAACAATCTCTTCGGGAACTCGTTCACAGCGTGATTTGGGTCAACAGGGTCTCATCAAGTGTTAGGACCACAGGATGGCTTTATGCTATGCTTAGATATAGAGCACCAAGTACTCTATATCGTTAACTACTTTCTTTTAAGCGCACAAGTAGCTCATATTTGATAATATATGGAATCGTTTCGCTTCATTTTGTAGTGCAAAGTGATCGTTCATTTGATGCTACTTGCAGTACATCTTAGCTGGAAGTGCCGAATCGCGTTATTGAGCACCCGTCAGGCCGTCCAATCAACTATGCATACACATAAGAAAACTACTAAAGCTGGAGCTGTCAGGCTTTATACCAGCCGCAGTGGCTACGTGACTCACGACTCTGCAGTAGTTTCGAGATAAGTATATTGTCCTGCAGTATTCAGTGACTCTGTTTCTTACGTGGAGGACTAGCTTACTGCTGCTTGGTGTTATTGCAGTTATGAAAGCGACCAGCGAAAATTGCTAACGAAGTCGCATGTCATTGTTTCGACCCTAGTTATGTTGTCAGGAATTATTGTGACGCTTTTAGTGTATGTCGTGTTTCAGGAGTGGATTGTTCCTTTTTAATAATGCTTTATCTATGGCTCTATCTAGTAATTAAACTCATATGGGAGGTATGAAGTCAATGGCTGAGAATGACACCAAGTTGCCTTCAATTTTGTCATAAGAAACAATGCATAGTGCAAAGCCTATTATTTATTAGCAGTGTTTCTTTTTTATGTGAAGTGAAGTGGTTTCACCTGAGAATAATCCAGCCTCGACTAAGCTCCATGGCATCCAGAACCAACGTATTCAGAGCCTCCTTAGATGCACGTAGTTGCAAGTGCGCAGTTTTTTTTTTTTTATCATCTCTGAAAGTAACGTTCATTCAAGAGGATTTTTCAACGCTGAATTTTATCTCATTCTGTACATTTCGCGCTTTTTTGGTTTGTTGGGACAATAAAATATGAGAAGTGTTTATATTTCATAGAAAATGATTACGGTGTCCATGTTTCCTTTCTTATTTCCTGCAGTTGCTTGTTGACTAAGTCAGGCTCGCATCTTCCGTGAATGTAGACGCTTTGCTTTTGTACTACTGATTGGATATAAGTGTATTTTTGAGAAACAACTTCTGACATCCCAAAGGTGTTTTTATTATAGCCGCAGACCAAACAATGTAAGTGTAAGGAAACTTTAACAACCACAAGAACAGTTTGCAGCGGGACAGCCTTCCCGTGTGAAGGAAATGTACTAAAGTGTGTGAAAAGTCTGGAGTGCACAAGACAAAAAAAAAGCATTTAATCGAAAACCTACTACTGTTTCTTTAAAGTGGCAAACATGCAATCGTTTCATTCCGCAAGTACTGACATACTTGGCAGAAACCTGGAAGGAACGGAGTAACTTGAAAAGGGCCCCTAAACATCCTGTGGAAAAAAAAATCAAAGGTGTTATTCTGTTCTCGCATTTCTTTGTCACAGGCACAGTTCGTGACGCAATAATAGGGACTCAAGCGACGTCATTACTGTACTTGCCGTTAATTGGTGCAAATACGTTAAATACCAGTTGTGAAATTTTCAATGCGAAGCATTTCTTTGCGTACTGCAAGCACTCCTGGTATCTATCTATCTATCTATCTATCTATCTATCTATCTATCTATCTAGGACTCTGTCGTCTGGGTGCTCTCACGATCACCTCCTTAATTTGGTGTGAGCCAAAATTAGTATGGGAGGGTAACATGGCTTGACGAATACAACGCACTGGTCCCCACTTAAATGACGTCACAATCCCGTCACGTACGTCGTCAAACACTTCCCGCCAAGCAGTGGCACAAACCCGCGGGTGGGTATGTGCCACTGGTATGCGTTTATGGGCAACAGGTAATGGACACTTAATATCTATCCAGGAACCACAATTGATTGATTGATTGATATGTGGAGTTTAACGTCCCAAAACCACCATATGATTATGAGAGACGCCACATATAGTGGAGGACACCGGAAATTTCAACCACCTGGGGTTGTTTCTGAGCACACGGGCCTACAGCATTTTCGCCTCCGTCGAAAATGCAGCCGCCGCAGCCGGGATTCGATCCCGCGACCTGCAGGTCAGCAGCCGAGTACCTTAGCCACTAGACCACCGTGACGGGGCCAGGAACGATGAAAACACACATGGCCCAATTTAACACGTGAGCTTTAAGGAAAACCTGACATCGGCAGCGTTGAACCAACGAATGTAAAGAATGAATGCTGGAGTCTGCGCAGGAATCAAACCAGAGCATTCTGCGTGGCAATCAAGCATTCTACCACAGCGTGACGCAAGGTCTTGGAACTACTTTTCAAACAGACCTCAATGTTCGTGAAACTTCAAATGTGGTTGCAGTGCTGGCTGTACAATTTTACAAGTATTATATATGTACTCCTACGATACAGCCATACGGCCACCTTCCTTTCGCATGCTTCACACAACGTCCACTCCTAAGGTGCGTGAAACCTGACAAATTCTTCTATTCTTTCATGCAGCCGCCTAACTGTTTTTCGTCGTCTCGCATGACTACCTGGTGCCATCAACTGATTTCCCTCCGCTTTGGGTGTTTTCGACTCCGCAAGCTGAGATAACGTGTTGCCGACACGCGCGAAATCCTGATCTGAGGCTGTGGGCTGACATTGTACACGGGCTTTGAAAGGGCCCCTCATTACCCCTCGTACAAAGACGAGGGAGTGGCTTTCACCTCGTCTTCGCTACCTTTCACACAGGCGATGCATCCTCCTGGTCGCTTACATTGTTAGCACTAAACACTCGACCGGGATTTCGCGCTTATCGGCTGCACGCTGTTATCGCTACTTGTACAGTCGTAAACACCCAAATGAAGTGACATCAGTTGGTCACGCACGATAGTCAAGTCAAGTCAACATTATCATACATATTTAGAATGGTACAAGAGGAGGTCAAAAAGTTTCAGAGAAACTGACGGGGGGACCTCCTGTGGCGACATGAATGAGGTAATAAAAAAAGTACACCAAAAGATGCGAATTTGTGAGCAATGACTAACGAGCTTAATTAATAATAATAATACAATGATACATAATATGATGGTAATACTACTGAACAAATTAGACATGAAATAATCAATAGCAGATTATAAAACGGGAACAAAGCAAGATTGATGAACTGCAGATGACGAATGCAGCTAGTTTTACATCAGTTGCACAAGTTGTGCAAAGAAACGAAAACTTAAATACATCCACCCGTGGTACATAAGCTTGGACAGAAAATGAGTGATTGGTACGAGCCAACATTCGTCCTTGGGGGCGCAGGTATACACTGGGATCCAGCTTGTAGTTCTATGATACAGGTCATAAATAAATTTTAAGCGAGCTATTTTTCTACGTGTAGCTAACGATTGAAGGTTAGCCCTAGCAAGCAAAAGTGATACAGACTGTGTTCTCATGTAATTTGAATAAATAAACCTCGCGGCCAATCTTTGTACTCGTTCAAGTTTGTTAATTTCAGTTTTAGTATGCGGATCCCAGATGATAGCTGCGTACTCCAGCATTGGTCTAACAATAGTCTTATACGCCAACAATTTAACAGAGGGCGTTGCATTACGGAGTTTCCTTCTCAGAAAACCCAGCTTTCGCTTCTCCAGTCCTGTAATGTTGTCAATATGATTGTCCCACTTTAAACTGCTGGATATAGTAACACCTAAGTATTTAAACTCATTAGAACTCTTAATTTCTCTATTGTTTATTGTGTATTTATAGTTAAGGGGGTAATTTTTATTTGAAATTGTCATGCAAACGGTTTTATC